AAAAAAAAAAAAAAAAATTCCATCTCAAAAAAAATAATAATAATACGTTCCCCTTTTTCCTTGGGTCTTCTTTTCTGAATGTTCCCATGTCATGTAAAACTTAAGTAAGTTTGTATGCTTTTCTCTGCCTTTTATTAGAAGTGCCTCAGCCATGAAGCTTGAGACAGGTAAAGAAAAGTTATTATTACCTTTTCTCCCCTGCAGCATCAAAACCACTACCCACAGAGAATAGAGGACCACAGTAGCATCTTACCTGTGTGCCCTGTGCCCCTTGAGCGAGGAGAGGGTTGCAGAGAAGCAGCCTTCACCCCACCCCAGTGGATGGAGTTTCCTGAGGTTTAGTGACACCAGGAATGGCAACTAGTTGGGGCAACCTGGTGGGGAATGCAACCAGGTGAAACACCAAGCAGGAGCCAGTCCACCACAGCTGGGAACTGTGTTATGGGTCAGCCCACAAGACCACTGATGAACTCATCACAAACTCCAAAACATTCATAAAGAATAAGGTCTGCAGTCCGGGTGTGATGGCTCTCACACCTGTAATCCCAGCACTTTGGGAGGCCAAGGTGGGTGGATCACAGGGTCAGGAGTTCAAGACCAGACTGGCCAAGATGGTGAAACCCCATCTTTACTAAAATATAAAAAATTAGCTGGGCATGATGGCAGGTGACTGTAATCCCAGGTACTTGGGAGGCTGAGGCAGAAGAATCACTTGGAACCCCAGGTGGCAGAGGTTGCAGTAAGCCAAGAATGAGCCACTGGACTCCAGCCTGGGTAACAGAGCAAGTCTCTGTCTCAAAAAAAAAAATAATAATAATAAGTCTCTGTCTCAAAAATAAAGTCTGCTGCAGGCAGTGGCTGGAGAAAAAAACAAATCTAAATAATTTCAAATTTATATTCCACCAAGTTCTGACTATTAAATCTTCCAATCAGTAAGTCAGAATGTTCATCAATTATAAGCACTTTTTAAACCAAACAAACCATGGTAATAATGTTCACAGGCAGTGAAACTCAAGGCTATCATTATACACGCCAAGTTATAAGGAATTCTATTTATCACTATTATATTTCCTCCCTCAAATGTCTTTAGGAAAAAAACAGAGCAAGGGAGGAAACAGGAAGCCTATCAGTCTGGGAGTGTGCAGGAATTTTGCAAAGGAACACCAGAAAACAATGTAAAACACACACTAATTCATTCTCTACCATTAATGTTGCTAATTACCTGATATATTTTTCTTTTATAACAATCAGGAGGGGCTGAGTGCAGTGGTTCACACCTATAATCCCAGCACTTTGGGAAGCCAAGGTAGATGGATCACTTGAGGCCAGGAGTTCGAGACCAGCCTGGCTACATGGTAAAACCCCATCTCTACAAAAACTACAAATATTAGCTAGAAGTGGTGGCACACACCTGTAGTCTCAGCTCCTTAGGAGGCTAAAGTGGAAGAATCGCTTAAGCCCAGGAGGCTGAGGTTGTAGTGAGCCAAGATCACACCACTGCACTCCAGCCAGGGCGAATGAACACAACACTGTCTCAAAAATAATAATAAATAATAATAATCAGGAGGAACTCTAAATTCTACCGAAGAGCAAAACAGCTGAAATGCTCTCATCATAAGGTAGCAACCAGTATGCAAAACCAAAGATTTAACCCTTCAAATGTATGCTGTTTCCAACAGCCAAAAACATTAAAGAATATACATTTCAAAGACTCACTGCAGGGAGTGCAGTGGATGGGACCATTATGTAAGGAATTCAGTGTAAAAAAAAAAAAAAATCCCAAGCTAGAAAAAAAGATTTTGAGTAAAAATCAAACTTCATAAACCCAAGAAAGACTTAAGGACAAAGTACAATGGGCCAGTTGCCAACCACACTAGAAAAAAATATGTAAGAATCATAGACTTCTTATGGATGAAGAAACTGAGGCCTACAGCATTTCTACTGTATGTGGAGTGTCAGAGGGCAAATAGCAACGTGCACTCAATGCAAACCAATTTAGAAACCCTCAATTACACACAAGAGGTTAGTAACATGTTACATCAAAATGACTGCTCTTCCCCCAAACCCCCTCCATTTCCTCACCTTTTCTCCTCTCTATCTGGAATGTTCTCCATCCCCATCACCACCTTCTGAAATCCTACCAGTCAGTCCTTTAGGGCTCACTCCAAAGGCAACTTCCTCCACTGTTCAGCCTTCCTCAATTATTCCAGCTAGAAGAAACATATTCTAAAGTCCCGTAGTGAACTTGCTCTTTCATATTTAGAGTCCGTCATTTGTACTGATTTTTCTCCTTTACTAAACTGCAAAACTTTGATGACAATGACCATATCAACCTTCCTCCCCCCAGTCTTCTAGGTAATCAAGCACTACACCCTGCACATAGGAAGCATCAATAAATGTAAACAAAATAAATTTTTAAAACTATTTTAGAAATTATAATTGTTTAATATCAACAGTATAAAATTAAATACTTATTCTAAAGTAACAATAAATATTAATAGAAAAAATATAATTTATAGCACTGACCCTTGGTGGCCCAATAATCATGCCTGTCCACCTGGTAAGTGTCATATCTTCATCATCTTCAAGGCCCCAGCTAACCGTACCATCGCCTACTCCTTTTTGTCCTTCTTCAAGTTCTTCCAACAAGCGAAAATTACGGGGAACTTTAACTCCTATACAAAAGAACGTCAGTGTCAATGTAAAAAGTTCATAATTGTAAGAGCTACGCATATTTAAATTGTTTTTTCCGAATTAATCCTTTATAAATTATTTCCCAAAAAGACAAAATCCCCTTAAAAAAACATTCTGCTCTATACAAAAAAATTAATTAAAAAAAAAAGCATTCTGCTCCAGAAAATGCTGAATCTAACAACCCCCAAACATTAACAGCAGTATAGAATGTGTATATAAATTCCTAATCAATTTTATACTGACATAAGTCAATCAATCATAAGGAAATCATTACAAGTGAACATTTTCCCTTCTTGAGGTTTCTGTTCCAGCCAAGGACTCTGCATCAAATAAACAGGCATGACCAGAAAGTTCATAAAAGCCAAAGTTCATTAATGTATACTCTCTAATGGTTTTTAAAGAGTAGAATTATGTTCCCTCTTAGAAAGTACAGCAGAAGGTACTGCCTTTTAGAATGCTGAAGCAGTCCCACCCACAGTCCCCAGTCTGCCTCTTTCCTCCTGTCCCTAACCAATAAGGCCCTACTTCCACCAACTCAGCACCATCAGTTAAGGAACACTTGAGGAGTTACTAGATTCGAGGACAAATCTCCTGATATTCCAGAGTTTCCTAGGACATCATTCTTCACCTCCATGCCTGACGTAGCAAATTTTTTGTAATCCACTAACCCTTCTTACATCTCCACTCCATGCCATACATGTTTCTACCCTTTCAGACTTTATCACTCCTTATTTTATTTCTAAAATCTTTTTTTTTTTTTTTTTTTTGGGTCGGAGTTTTCCTCTTGTTACCCAGGCTGGAGTGCAATGGTGTGATCTCGGCTCACTGCAACCTCTACCTCCTGGGTTCAAGCAATTCTCCTGCCTCAGCCTCCTGAGTAGCTGGGATTACAAGCACTACAGGCATGAGCCACCATGCCTGCCTGATTTTTTGTATTTTTAGTAGAAACGGGGTTTCACCATGTTAGCCAGGCTGGTCTCAAACTCCTGACCTCAGGTGATGCACCCGCCTTGGCCTCCCAAAGTGCTGGGATTACAGGTGTGAGCCACCACGCCCGGCTATTTCTAAGATCTTAACACAGAAATCTCTCTGCCTAGAATGGTTCCCACTCCTTCACTTGCACTGAACCTGGTCTTTGCCATCATTCCAACTGCCAATCCCTGGAATTCAACCACAATTCCCCCAATTTTCCACAACCTGTTCTAGGATTACTGGCCTGGCCTCTCTACCAAAGGATGAACACTGTGGTCTTCCATGCCCTCCACAGCATCTAACATAAAACATCCTCTAACCTCATCACACAAGTTTGTAAAAAATATGGAAATGCCCTCAGAATCCTCTCTCTCCTCCTCTCATATACACACAATTATAAGGCAGAAAAAAAAAATCTCCTTAAAAGTAAATGTAATTTTTTGCAGCTTCTCTCTCCCACTGAAAAAGTCATTACAATTACTATAATTGTTAATAGCCATTTGTTTAACAAATATTATGTGCGATTTTAAATAAATTTTCCCATTTAGCTCTAAAAGTACCTGAAACTGAAAAAGTGATGTGACCTCCTCAAGGTCACACAGCTATAAATGGCAGATCCAGTATGAAAATCCAGTTTCTAGACCACAGCAACCCTTCTCACCACTAAGTGGCACCGCACTGCAAGCTACACTGGCAGCACAGCCTGGTAGTCTGAGCACCCACATCAGACTGCCTGAGTTGAGCTCCAGCTCTGCTGCCCACCTGACCTGTGACCCCAGCACAGTTTTCTCATCTGTAGAAGTGGGATAACAATCATCCCTACCTCACTGGATCACTGTGAAAATTAGACAAGGTAACCCATCTCAAATGCTTACAATGTTGACTATGATCATTTCAGTGTCCACATTAAACAGAATGTTATAAAACTTCTACGTACCTCCATCTAAGTTGTTGAAGATAAAAGCTCTTTATAAATTCCTCTAGGGTGGCCCCTGAAAACTTTATCCTAAGGTCTAAGTTTCTATTTATATAACACTGGGACAACTACTTTTTTATTTTACCGTACTGTGTAGTTATGACCTCCAATATACTCTCTTGAATAGCTTCTTAAAATAACTGTAAACAAACTTGGTTATCCTTGCCATTATTAAGTCATTCCCCCAACAATAATTTTAAATTTGTGTTGAATTTCTTTGCTTCCTTTTTATAACCAGTTCAGTGAGGTGACCTTTATGGGCATCCAAAACCACAAAGTAAACAATGTAAAACTAACATTTCCTTTTACATAAGTGCCATAAAAGTGACAAATCTAGTTACTGCTAAACTTGTCACCATCTCTCTTACATAGCACTTTGGAAAAATCGTTCTAAGATTAACAGATAAATTATTGACAATACTAATATTTAAAGAGTTATTGCAGCTTTTTTTTTTTTTGAGACAGAGTTTCACTCATGTTACCCAGGGTGGAGTGCAATGGCACCATCTTGGCTCACCACAACCTCCGCCTCCTGGGTTCAGGCAATTCTCCTGCCTCAGCCTCCTGAGTAGCTGGGATTACAGGCACGCGCCACCATGCCCAGCTAATTTTTTTTTTGTATTTTTAGTAGAGACGGGGTTTCACTATGTTGACCAGGATGGTCTCGATCTCTTGACCTCGTGATCCACCCGCCTTGGCCTCCCAAAGTGCTGGGATTACAGGCTTGAGCCACCGTGCCCGGCAGCTTTTTGTTTTTAAAGCATGAGACTCACATCAGGCATGCTGGCTCACAGCCATAATCCCAGCACCTTGGGAGACCAAGGCAGGATTACTTTAGGCTGGGAGTTTGAGATCAGCCTGGGCAACACAGCAAGACCCTGTCTATACAAAACTTTTAAAAATTAGCCAAGCATAGTGATGCACACCTGTAGTCTCAGCTACTTGGGAGACCGAGGTGGGAGGATCCCTTGAGGCCAGGAGTTCGAGACCACCCTGGGCAACATGGTGAAACTCCATCTCTACAAAAAATACAAAAATTAGCCAGATGTGGTGATGCTCAACCGTAGGCCCAGCTACTAGGGAGGCTGAGGTGGGAGGATCACTTAAGCCTGACAGGTTGAGGTGCAGTGAGCCGAGATCATACCACTGCACTCCAGCCCGTGACAGAGTGAGACCCTGTCTCAAAAAAAAAAATAAAAAGTTTAAAATTCAAAAAAGCATTGAGACTCAAAAACAAAACAGTGAGCTGTTTTCAAATTCTGGGCTAGGGCACTGTGGTCTTATTTTACCTAACCTTAAATGCCTGTCAAGAGAAAAAAAAAAGCCACAAGGTGGAGCTGTTGCTCCACAGAAGTCACAGCATGCATGTGCTGCCCTTTGATCTCCTGCATTAGACAATAACCTAAAACTGACAGAACTACTAGTGAGTTGCCAAAACAAGCCGAGAAGCCAAATCTCCAGGCTTCCCACTAATCCAGTCTCCTAGTTAGTACATCACAATGAACCTCCACTCATGAGAGATAAGGCCAAAATTAGTAGTAATTTTCAGAAACAAAACCCTGCATGCAAACATACTGGAAAACATGCTTCCAGTTTTTAACCTGAAAGTTATGATACCAAGTTACTTGCCTTCAAATGCGCCATGATACCCAAAACATGCCAAATACTAGGAGAATGAGTCTTGCCATGCTGTGCTTACCTGAAACACAGATTTTCCTAATTCATAAACCTTTGACCTTTTTTAAGTTAACAGGGAAAATGCAAAAATAGAACTTTAAATAGACATTTTAAAATATTAGTCTTGTTAGTGGACAGGAGCAGAGATTTTGCCACCTTTTTTTTTTTTTTTTTTTTTTTT